CTTGGATACTGGGAAAGGTTAATTACTTGGTCCTTTTTTTCTTTAAGATTCTCGTGTAGCCTCTTTATCATTAAAACGTGTACACCGCGTGAGCCATTGGACAAGTTAAGCATATTCATTTACGCACATGGCTCGTTTGCGGTCAAAAATAGACAAAATTTATTAAAGCTGATAGCCATTTTCCCGAAAATTCTAAAGACTAATCGTATATTTCGAGTACGCGTCAATAAATCCTGTAGTTAGAATATAAAGGATCGGAGCTTGTTTTCTGGATCAGTCGACTGTGAAGATCTCAAACCGAAATGTTGCCATGAATTATTGTACGAATTCTCCAGTTAAGTTGCGTGATAATAACTCACAGTACGGACATCCGCAATACTAACATAAGTATCACACATTCGGTGCCGTAGCGCGCAGTGAAAAACTTTGAAGACGTACCTTGCTAAGCTAGTGAATATCAGAATCGTTCTTGCCCGCCTAACTGAGGTTTCCTTCTTCAATATAAGTGGTTTCCTTCTTTAGATCTTTGCACGGGGTCCTGAAGTAGCACATACTTCCAATCCAGAAGACAAAAAATAGTGCAAAAATCACACTGCAAATTGCAATAGCGGCTGCTGCATCGGCCATAGCGGGAAACGATGACTTGATTCTTCAGGAATATGCGTTTTGGGTGCTTGAGCCTTCGTGTTGTGAAATTCTTTCTTTTGAAAATGTTTTGTGGGTAATCAGTCATTCGTATCAGAATTTGGGGTCAGGTCATGCGAAGGAATGACTTGAATGACAGTGAGTCGTGAAAAAAAAAATCATGAATAAATATATTTCATATATAATGGCTTCACTAAATTTAGCATACATATAAATGTATGCTAAATTATATAATTAATTAAACCCTGCCAGCATCATCCCTACCTCTTCGAATGGGTGACGATAAAACATATCCAAAAAAAGGTTTTATTTATCATTTTACTAAGAAAAGGCCACTTGATATTTGGCGCCAGCTATTCCACAAATTTGTCCAAGAAAAATTCTAAACACAAAAACTAGTGTTTAACAAACGCGAAATCAAAAAGTGGTTATGGAATGCAAAATACTGCAACCTCCTACGACGACAAGTTTGCATTTGCTGTACAACCATGGATAGATGGATGCATCTTGGGGTATATTGTATGTGGGGCTTATATATGTCTGTGTAAATTAAAATTCTTCTCCTTTTTTTCCTTTTTTTTTCATTTCAGATAGATTTCCCAAAGAATTGCCATTTAGCCTAATCCTGTCACTATATATTCGTTAGAAGGCTTTGAAGACTCTGAGCAAAGCTAATTTGTCATTTTACTTCACATTGTCCCAGACTTCAAGGAGATCGCAACCAGGCTTGCACTACAAAAGGATTGTTTATTCCTAAAGGATTGCCTTTTATGATTCAATGATATGCAATCCACCATGATCTGATGCTATGGCAGGAACATGAAACGTTTAACCCTGAAAGGTGAGCCTTTCAAGTGATGACTGACCCGTGGGCGAGATGACTTGTGAGTGAAACTGACCTGTGGGCGAGATTACTTGTTGGCGGGAGTAGATCAACCAAACCGTAGGTTACTGCGGTTTCTGTACGGTGAAGCCATAAGCAATTATTGAATGAGGTTGAGCATGATATCATGAATTAACCGCCGCCTGGTTAGCTCATGTGGATGAGCGCTGGACTATTGTGCAGGAGGTCGAGGTTCAAGACCCAGACTGGACCCACACTCAGGGTCTTAAAATAACCGAGGATAACGCGCTGCCTTTGCTATGATATCTGCAAGCGGTTAGACATTCTACGATCTTGAACCCGCTCTCATACCATATGAGGCCATCGCATCTTGCACTCATGACCTCATAATAATGCTTTATTCTTGTTAGATTCACATAAGCGGAAAGAGCAAAGTGTCACCCCTATGCATTTTCACCGTTTGGGTTTGGTCCTTACAACTGCGTCAGTACGTATTGCAACTGACCCTGTTAGATTACTGGAGAAGTACAAGCTAAAGCGCACCGGGAAAATAGCTTTGAGTGAAAATCTTTTTTGTCTATTGCCTCAGAGTGTTTTTTCAATTTTTTTTTCTCCTCTCTGTATGCTATAGAGTGTTAGTATTTGCAATGTAAGTTTTTGCAAAGTTTTTGTGTCGTTTCAACAAACACGTTTTGGTAACTGAATGGATGAAAAAAAGGAAAATAAAAGAACAAGAAACAACAGATAACCCAACCTAACTTTAATGGCAACTTGGTGATTTTTACAAACTTTCATAATCACAAGAAAGTACTGCACCTTGCTCATTTGGGTTTTAGATCAATGGCAACGAAAGTTTGGTATCTGAAGAGTGCTTTCCAATCTTAAGTGACAACGATTGTTAAGTTTTGAACGATGAATTCAGAACCGTATTAAAAGAAATATTGTTAAGTTCTTTGGTTTGAGTTGCAATGTTTAATTTAAGCTTCCTAATTGATTAAGAAATGTGTCTCTTTTGTTGCAGTTTCGCTGTTTATTTTCCGTTTGAATGCGTTATTGCATAACCGTCTATTTTTTCACAATGATTAGTAATACAGATGAGAAAAACGCCAAAAAAAATCAAACCTGGTGTGAGGCCCTGTTCTTAAAAGAGCTTTCTTATAATAAAATAGAAATTTGAATAAGAAAAATGATAAACTGGCACATTAAAATTATCCATTTTCATTGTATTTATAAAAGCCAAGAGAACATGAGCGAAGGTGAAAATGCCGTCCCGGGCGAGACCTTCCCACGATTCTTCCCAACATTCTGAAGTTTGCTAAGTTTCACACTTAACTGTGGCCAAAAAGCAATTTTGATTTACACCAAGCAAATTTTAAAACTGAAAGGTAATGAGGAGAAAAGGGCGATAAAAAAAAAATGTTCTTTACTCAAGGAATATTGCTTGATTCGACGTCAATTTTCAGAACTGAATAATAAGACATTTTCATACAGTCAGTAAAGAGGATCGGTGTGCAAATAAAAGAGGTCGGGTTGAAAGTTTTCCAGCAATACTCCTGAGGATTCAGTATCAATGGTGAATGTTGTAACACAAGCCGAGAAAGGTTATCTTTACTTAGATGTTAATAAGATTCAGTTGATCAGTTTGCAGTCCCCTAAACAGTTGCACGTCGGTGGGAGATGTACTTGTTGTGGAAGAAAAGGAGACATCTCCCAGAGTATGTAGTCAGCACACCCACGTATGCTTTTTTTTTCTTCGAGCCGAGAAACCACCAAAACAGAGTGTGTGAGACAATATTTGTTTACAAGAGACAAAAAAAATAGAAAACACGACCGAAACAGTTTGATATCGCTCTTGGAGCAACGCATGGTCCACATTTTTCTGAAAAAAATAAAGAAACTCTCAACAGCGAGTCTGAAAATAGAAATCGCTCCTTTCTATCAACCTTTACAAAGCCTAACATAACCGAAACAGCTTAATATCGCTCTTGGAACAGCGCGCTGTCTACATTTTGAGCATAAAAATCGCTCCTTTCTATCAATCTTCACATAGCCTGTATTGTCCAGATTTACCCACGACGACTGAAACAATTTGATATCGTTCTTGGAACAGCGCACTGTCCACATTTTTCTGGAAAGATAACGTAACTTTTAACAGTGCGTCTGAATATGGAAATTGCTCCTTTACATCAATCCTTACACAGTCTGTATTGTCCAAATGTGCACAACACGACCAAAACAGTTTAATATCGTTCTTGGATCGATTGGAAGAGCACGTTCTCTACATTTTTCAGGAGTAATTAGACAAACTTTCACAGCGCGTCCGAAAATAGAAATCGCTATTTTCCATCGTCCTTTATAAAGCTTATATTGGCCAATTCGTTCAGAAAAACAAACGTAGGCGGCGTTCCTTTGATCTGCATGGCTAATGATCACAGGTCCATTAGACAGGCTCTTGACTCAAAGTGAAAATTCTCGAATGCCCACTTTAAGGGATCTATTGTTTTCATTCAAGAGGACCGAAGCTGACAGAACTGAAACTCTTCCAGAATGAAGCAGCTGCAATATGGTATTGACACGATCAACATGTCAACTATTTGTTTTTCAATTCAGTCGCAGGTGGGACACCATATAAGTTTAGGAGACATCGATGAAACCTACGAAACTTAAAATTATTTGAGGAATTTAAAAGTGTTTTCCAATCTAATCTAAATAATTTCTACTGCAACGATTGTCAAGGAATTCTTCATCGCAAAAAAAATGTTGTTAGTTTCTTGAATTTAAGCCCACGTTTTTAATTTTCTATAGATTTTTTTATCATTGATTAAAATAAATAAAATTGACTTTTTCTGCAGTTTCGCTAATTATTTTGCATTTGAATGCGTATACTAATGAGTAAAGCGAGAAAATTAACCTTAAAATATTTTGCTTAAGGTGGTGAAAAGATCTTGCCAATTCAACCTGAAATCTCCTTACAGAGTGGACACTTAGATTCTCGATCCAAAACTTTTCAGCCAAGGGTTGCAGGTTGTTACAAAAGACGAGAATAGATGACTAGCTAATTCAAGTAGTACATGACATCTGCTTATAACAATATACACACGGAACATATCGTCCCTCAAACTTATTTTCTATTCTAAGCAATCATTTGGAGTTTGCTTGTTTTTATTGTTTAGCAAAACACTAGCTTTTTTTCTCAACTATTAATGGCATAATTCAATTTTAACCTGGAGCTGGAATTCAATACAATTGGTTTACAGCAAAAAGGCTGAGGCCTAAGGGAGTAGGGAATGTTCGTTTCGTTGCGTTCCTGAAAAATACGCCTAAAGATGTATGGTCATACAGCATGTTTACAAATTCGAAAAAGTAGCGATCAATGATAACGGAGAAGAAAATTAATTGCGTCTTCGATACCCTGTTTTCACACATAACGGAAGTAAACTGTCGTGTAATTTGAACATTTCATTTCCGTAAAGCCGGACGCTTAATCCCAGGCCCTTCTCACAGGTGTTGATAGGATCGATCGCAAAATCACAACCAGATCAATAGCTGAAGTGGAAAATGGCGTCTCAGGCAAGGCCTTTTCACGATATGTATGAAATTAAGGAAGAACTTGGAAGGGGAGCCTTTAGTATAGTTCGTAAATGTGTTCTGAAGGAAGGGAAAGTCGAATTTGCTGTTAAAATTCTCGACACGCGAAAGATGACCTCGCGCGACATCCAGAAAGTTGAGCGAGAGGCTCGGATTTGTCGGGGCCTGAAACACCCGAATATCGTCCGTCTTCACTCTAGCATCTTAGAAGAAGGTTTCTATTACTTAGTGTTTGATATGGTCACTGGTGGAGAACTCTTCGAGGAGATTGTAGCCCGAGAGTACTACAGCGAGGCAGATGCCTCCCACTGCATACAGCAAGTGTTACAGAGTGTTCAGCATTGTCACGACAGCAATATAGTGCACAGAGATCTTAAACCCGAAAACCTTCTCCTCTCTAGCAAGGAAAAATCAGCGATATGCAAACTAGCCGACTTTGGATTGGCAATCGAAGTCGAAAACGGCAAATTAGGTTGGTTCGGTTTCGCCGGGACGCCGGGATATTTATCTCCGGAGATTTTGAAGAAGGAAGCATATAACAAGGCGGTAGATTTATGGGCTTGTGGAGTGATTCTGTACATCCTTCTGGTAGGCTATCCTCCCTTTTGGGACGAAGATCAGCAGAAATTGTACAGTCAGATCAAGGCAGGGGCCTACGACGTAAGTAAATAAGCATAATTTCATGATTTGTATTTTCACTTTGAGAAACTGATACTGAGCGAGCCGGGCGGTTTTCATCGTTCTTTTGTTTCTTCCCACGAATCGTAAATATATTTAAGCTAAGCCAAAACATCTATTCATATTCTTTATTTAACCATCGGTTTAGCGCCTGTATGTAGAACTGTGTTTTCGTTTATTTAGCATATAAATTGCTGTCCGTTTTCTCTTACTGTTACCATTCTTTCCACTTCGCTTTCGAATCGTGATTGACAATGGTAGGCCGTAGTTTCACAATTCGTGCGAACATAAATCATTCCCACTAATGATCTTTCACTAGCCATGGAGTCTAAACCAACATTACTCGGTTACGTGAATATCGAAGCGATAAATTGTTTTTTTGTGGGTTTCTTCTTTTGGTGGTTTCTGGCGTTAATTGAGGAGCTATTATTCCAGGTAACACCTGGCGTCGATAAGAGCGAAGTAAAAAATCATCGACGTGGAGAAATAATTTACTTAACAACTGTAGCCGTTATATTATTTTTTTTCTAAAAAGATATTTTCAGTTTTACAACGCTGATTATTTAGATTCTGAATTTCTCCCGTGTAAAATGGTAGCTCGTGGAAAATAAATTAGCGTCTCTCGTCAAATTTACAAGATCTCTGATATGGACGCTGTTGCGAAGATCTTATGGCAATTACGCATGTAAGTCCATTGTTTCTTTCATCATTTAAGTTTTTGTTTTCTTTCTGTTACAAAGAATATGGATTTTGAAAATGAATTCAGAGCCGCCTCATTAAACACAGATGGATCATTGAGACATTATGAATAATGCAATATTGTTCTAAGTCATCCAGATTTTGACCTTGCCCTAAAATTTACTTAGTGCAACCTCCCTAGAATTTGGCTCCTGCATCTTGATTTGATTTGTAAGGCAAGAGACCTTGGTGAGGGGTGCGGTAGTCCTCCTTAAGACACCTGAGTAATGGCTTAAAAAGAAGCCTACATTTAATATTTGGCAATATTTTTAGTCAATGGTTTGAAATTTTTACCCTTAAAATACAAGTATATTCAGAGAGAAGGTTATCATTCACAAAAAGTTCAACTTTTTCTACAGATGTTCCTATGGCTTCCAGAAGACTCCCCAAAGAGTCTGCTACAAACTTGTTCCCAGTGCACTCCCTTCCTTTCACTTTTATCTTCCTTTTACCCCTTGACTGCTTTGTGTTTGCTAACATGCAATTTTGTCCAAGATGTGTAACTTAGGACTTCAATAGCTCAAATTTCCCAGCTGGAGTTGAGAAAAAGTCTTGAAGAGGGTGAGCTGGTGAGAGATCATTGTGCTTATTCAACTTGAAAGTATGAGAATTTTGCTCATCATATCTCTTACCACCCTGCCAGTGTGGAGTGTACTTTCTAGTAGTCAGTGCCAGTTTGCCGAGAGTTAAACAGCAAGTTTCGCCTGTTGGTGCTGTTGTGCTTTCATCAGCTGCTCTTGCTCCAACATTTTTTTTTTTAAGCTGTGGCTTTGTTAAAGCAATTATTTAATGATAGAAGGAACAACTAAAAAATTGGTAAAAAGAGTAAGATTTACATGACCATATGAAGTACACAAGGAGATGTTAGGGTTAGGGGATGCATAAATTGGAAAGAAAATGCCACAAACTCGTTTCCAGTGATGTAATAATGTTTTATTAAAGCTTTTATGCTATTAAAGCTGTTCACTTAATAATGAATGAAAAAATTTAATTGGTTTCTGCCACTATTGAAAATTGCGTAGTAAAATCTTTTCTGATAATAATCAAGGTAATTGTAGCAAACATCAATAACAAAACAGGTAAATTAGACTTTTTAAGGCTTTTCTTGTCTCTGATGTGGTGGTTTTTGAAAAGGAAGATCCTGTAAAAAAACCCTTGAGCAAGGACAAGGAATAACAACAAACTCATGGTACCTGTGAGACTGGGTTTGCCAATGAAACTCTGGCCACAGTAACATAATATTTAAGTCTGCATCTGAGCCAAGTGGCCCACAAGGCACTAGAGCTTACCCTGATCTTTGAAGCATGAAGTTACTCTGAGTATTTCTGCTTCCCCTATATGGATCAAAGGTTACCCTTAAGCATTTTTTCAGGTCTCTCATTTTACTCTTAGGCAGTGAAACATTCTTGAAAGGAAAGAAAGTCACTTAAACCATATTTATTTACAAAAATTGTGTACAAATGTACACAACATGACAAATGTTGTTGCAATCTGAAAAAAGCTTGTTATTGATTTAAAGACAATGGTGTAAGCAACACTGCAAACTAATTTGGCCATAAATTTGGTGGCAGAAATGGTCATCAGATGAAGCTTTGCAAACTAGATCTCCACTACACATTGGAAATGGAAAATGTGCCCCCTTTCCTTTGCAACATCACAGAGTTTGTTCCTGAATTGATATACAAAAAACACCATTGATATAAAAATAGAGACCTACATGTGCTCAAAAAAACTATATGAAGTCAAACCTAGACTTCAACTTTGACCTTTTAACATCCAAGATTTTAATATCATTTGCTGTCTTTACTGTCTGATCTGTATGATGTTATGATGTTAGCTCTTAAGAGGTAGATAAAATATTGATGTTGTTTTGTAGAAATTACTCATTGATCTCTACTTAATGCTTGATTTATACATTTTGTGACGTGAGAGGTGTTTTAAAGCAGTAAAGCTGCTGTACAACTATTCATACAGCAAAATGATAAGGTTTTAATACTTTGAAGGCGTGGCACTCTAGGTTGATCACAATAGCATTCAGTGGTACATGGACAAATGATACTCCTTGTCTGAAATGCCATTATACCTGCCCTTCTGCCTTGGGCATCAGGAGACATGTGGGCTCCCACAAACAATGTAAGAATGTACAACATAGCCAGCTTTAACTACAAGAGGCCACTACAAATATTACAGACCTACTGAGATATAAGGTTGGAAAAATTAAAATGACATCCTAAATTACATCTTGCTTTTCCATAAATTGGTAACCCACTTGGCAGTTTTATTTGCTGACCGCAGCAATTGCCAAAAATTGCAATGGCTGCAATGGCTGTACTGGGCACACCTGGGGATTCTTGTCCATCATCTTTAAACCTCTTGGTTAAAATTTACTTTCTGAACTCTAGACATCAAGGCAGTGAAAGGAAGATGAATAAATTTGCAACTTTTAAAAGTAGTTCATTTATTTTGGAATCCTGAGAGGGGACTGAATTTTACTTAATCTCATTCTTGTGACTGATGAATCAAATACATTTCCTCATTTCAAACATTGCCTCATTTTAAATTTTGTTGCACCAGAATGGTGAATATTCTTTGATGCCAGTTCATAGAAAGATCAATACAACCTCACTTTCTTATTTGCTACCTGGGCAATGGTTTCTTGAATAAGGCCACCTTCAATTACAAGAATGACTTAAGCTCGTCTTTAGTTTGCTTTTTCAACATGCTAAGTTTTTTTTTCTCTCTTTTTTTTTTTTTTTTGCAGTTTCCCTCTCCAGAATGGGACAGTGTGACAGAGGAAGCCAAAGATCTTATTAACAAAATGCTCACTGTAGATCAAAGTAAAAGGATCACAGCTGCAGATGCCTTGAAACATCCTTGGATTGTGGTATGTTGTTTTATATATTCATTTTATTCTGTCAATTCAGTTATGTGACAGTGTCACTTCCATGAAATAAAATGCAAATAATATCAATATGTGCTCAAAGAAATGACCAATTTGTTTGTGGTACTCAACTTTTTTTTTTTTCAGCTCCTCCCCATGGAAGTTTAGTTTATAGACTATAGGAAAAATTATGTTATTTTTTTAATTTTTTTTTTTTGCGACTTTTGCCCTTCAATCCTTTCCCATTGTGTGTTTTATACACCACTTGTTGAGGGGAATTTGCCCAGGGAATGGTTTTGATTTAGTGACACTGTGGTACACCTCCTGTTTACTCAGATAAGTTAAATACGAATCTTAGACAATTTTGGTGCATTTTGTGTGAAGAAGGAAGGAACGGCCCTTTTAAACTTTGTGACATGTAGCATCAAGAAAAAAAAAATCGGCAACAAGGTCGATACAATATTTCAGAGCCATTTTGAAGTCAACTTGTTTGCGTCAAGTTCTTGGCTGCCTTTTTGTAGTTGAATAGTTGAGAAGTATAGTAGCTGACAAATAAGTGAAAAACGAGATTAGAGCTTTTAATTTTGTGCAGCTGCAATGTATTTATGCCAGCTGCTATGTGTTTTGTTTATTGAAGAAGAATCTGATGATATTGAAACTCAGACCATATCTTATCCTTTGAAGGAGAGAAAATGAAAAAAAAAAAACTCCACGCATATTTTCTTTGTAAGTGTTTGGCTTCATAGTTTTCTTTTCATAAAGTTGTTTTCCTCTTTTTGAACACATTTTTACCATTCAAAAACACGGCGAAAGAAAATATGACGGGTGAATTAAGATGAGCCACAGAATACACTATAACTAATTCACTCAGAAAAATTGAAAGCAAGCTTACCCTTGATGTTAGAATTTGATATCGTGTATTGCTACATAACTGCAAGATTGAGAATAATAATTCCTTAATCGGAGCATCACATCATTCTGGCGTTGAGATCGGTTCGCAGTTTTTAGAATTATTCGTACATCTGAAATATTTTACGGGAGTTTTGATACAGCAAATAGACAGCCTTTGCGAGGATACCATACTTGTCATTTCTGCTCGTCGCGAATGCGAGAAAGTGATTGGCTGATGTCAAAATGTTTCCACCATTTTAATCGTCCACTGAGAATGCGTGTTTGACAGTCTGTTGTGAAAGTTTGGGAAAATCTTCTTGATTTTCCAACAATGCCACCGAATGAATCCTATTAGTTTTTGTACGTCAGTGTTATTTTAGGTCGCTCCTTTTGTTTATTTTCTGAATTAAAAGTTTTCCCAGTCCACTGAGTTGTCAATCAAAACCGTCATATTTACAACGACAAGAAATAATGCAAACTAAGCCTTGTTTCCTAACATCATCGACTTAAAAAAGGCTTTGGTTCTGACATGACTAGGAGAACGTCTGCTGATGTTGTATCAATACGTTCACTGCTGGACACTTGAAATACCAAAATTACACGATTCACTTTTGAAAAGGCGTATTCTTAAAAGATGTTCCCCTCGGCCTATGGAAGGGTTCTTCGTGGCAAAACTACAATTCTAAACCTATGGTTTTCACTACTACCAAGGATGTTAGGCTTATTGAATCAGTAGGCTATTAATATACCGACGGTTCTGCAAATGATACTTAGACTGCAAGTGCCTTTTTCCTTTTAAATTGAATGCTTAAAAGATGGCAACGCAGACGATTGGTAAACTTTTTCCTTATCTACAATAATTACTTTTGGCCTCTAATGTTTTTCCTATTTAATGATTATTTAAATTTTTAATCCTGACGAGAAACTTTGAAAAAAGAAAATTTAAGCGTCAATTAAAACTTTTACGCCAGCATGAAAAAGCAAATGATCATTTTTCAGATGTAAATTGTTTTCTGTTCTTGTGGAAGGCCTTTTGTATTGTTATTCTACAGCTGAATTTCAAACTGTTTTTTAAGTTCAATAGTTTGCACTAGTAGTTCGTAAATTGGGAAAATTTGAACCCGGAAAAAGACAAGTGATGCGCTTATATTGCATTGTGACCACTAAAACCTTTCCAGCCTCAAATTATGCACAATTTAGTTGCTCTTATTTGCATACTGTCCAATGTATGAAGTTGCCTCTCCTATGAAATTAAACGATATCAGAGAAAGACCAACACATATTTACGCCTCCTCTTTCTATTTTCCGGAGCCATCCTGTCCATATTATTCCAAAACAGTTTGTGAACCTACCGGAAAATTACTTAGTTTGTGGTTCGTTGTCAAGTTTCTTGTTAATTGAGCCAAGTGTGTTGTGGTGAAGGGATTGACTAAATCACTGACTTGTATTGTTTGAGCACCTGTCCTTTATGTCAAATGCGCTCTATAAAGATCTGATGTATTTCTTCGCTTCTTCTCGCTGGGGCTGCAAACAGGGATATTCTTTTCAATCTCTTGTTTCACTCGCCTTACAGACGGGAATCTGAACTTTCAAACAGGTTCTTTACTCCAACAGCCTTCAGAAGGTTTCACGATTGACCAGGGTAACTCGCAGTCGCTTAACTAAATTTTTGATCATGAACTATAAAATGCATTATTTTTGTGCGTACAATTTTTTCAGAACAGTGAACGAATTGCCTCGAAAGTTCATCGCCAAACTACGCTCGATGGTTTGAGAAGATTCAACGCGCGACGAAAACTTAAAGGGGCCATTCTCACGACACTTTTAGCGACGCATAATTTTAGCGGCTCGAGAAAGAAGAAGGAATCTGATGAGGATGTAATGGCGACTCATCCCGAAGAAACAGATGGTACCACCCAAGCCAGCGCGCAGCCGCAGTGGAAATCGCAGAAAGAACAGGAAATAATCCGCTTAACGCAGCAACTGATAACCAGTATAACCTCTCAAGATTACGACACGTACAGCAAACTCGTTGACTCTCACGTAACTGCCTTCGAACCAGAAGCAATTGGAAATCTTGTGGAAGGTCTAGAGTTTCACAAGTTTTACTTCGATAACGTGCTGCGTCAACGCAATGCACCCACAAATACAACGATTCTCTCGCCTCACGTGCACATTCTGAGCGCAGAAGCCGCGTGTATCTCGTACGTGCGCCTGACCCAGCGAATCGGAAGCAACGGCGAGCCAGTGACGGACCAATCAGAAGAGACTCGAGTGTGGCAGTTAAAGAACGGGCAGTGGGTATGTGTTCATCTACACAGGTCTGCGTCAACTAAAGGACGCTAGAGAAATGGTGATTGAATCTTGTTAGAGAACTGTTACGTGAAGTAAGTGGACAGTTTGTAACTAACAAATATGTTTTGAGTATCAAGCCGGTAAAGACATGGGCCTGGGAATTCATACTGTTGAATTTTGAATTGTCAAGACTGAGTTATTTAACTGTCTGAGTTTAGAGAGTCATAAGTGACTCCTTTTTTTCTACAACGTATCTTTGGCACTGAGCTAAGGAATTGTTGAAATTGAATTGTACAGGTGTTGTTACTCTAATCAAAACACCAATCCAGCTTTCCTATGGGAGCAAAGTTATTGAACTGAATTTTACCGTAGCCAAGCACTTGAATGACTGAAAAGAATATAAATAGAATTACATATATAATTGCAAAATTGATATATAATATGAGACATTACTAGTTATCATTTATTGCTTATAGATAAAGAATTGATAGTTGTTAGTAGCACCGATTTACTCAGCTTGGTTTCAAATATGTGACCTTGTCTTGCATTTTGTTTAGTTTTACTGGAAACCTTCCTTTTTTTCCCATATCTCCAGAATTGCCTGAACGGGTGTATCTATCTTAAATCGGATCGGAGGCGGCTTTTGCATAATTTGAATTAGTCTGTAAGTTAGTGAATGCAAGTAAGGCCGTCCGTTTTTTTCTCTTCTTTTACAATAAGACAGCCACAATTGCTTTTGTTATCTATGATACAAACTTCTAACAGGATCCACTTATCCCATAAAGTGATGTTGGTCTTATTAGACTTATTGTTGATCACGTAGATCTTACAACAGCTTTGCACTTTGTAACATTTTAAAAATTTAAGCTTTTGTGCTATGGGAGATGCATTTTCTTTTCTTAGGTGGGATTAGAATTTCATACAAAACATCATCCTAATATCTTTATTTAGCTGTTAGCAATGATAATGTTCCTCCATTTAGGTTTTTCTCTACTATTACCTACTGGGAAGGTTTGGACAAACGTGGTATGAACTTTTATTGACATTTTCCTTACATCTTTAAGTTACTGTTTTATAATTTAACATTTGCGAGAATATTGTGATACTTCTGTTTATTGAGGGAAGTTCGCCTTTTTAATCACTTTGTGTCCAAATTCCCTCTGCGAAATTTGAACAGTGGCTGATAAAGAGCTAATAAGAAATAATCAAGTGGAGTTTTATTGGGAAAGATGTGACTAACAACAGTCTGAATATAAACAGCTTAGTGGCCCGGGAGGGAAGACTGAGTGAGATGGTTATCATTTAATAAGGAATTATGTAAGTAACTAGTTTAGGTCTGGTGCATGTAACTCACTCTTGTTAAACACGGCAGGATTTAAAGTTTCTCATTAGGGTCTTATTCTTTCAAACTGACAGCTGATATTTCTACGTTTACAACAAAGCAGAGGTGCTCAAAAGTTGTTATTGTAGTGTATAACTTATCTGAGTTACTGCCTGTTGTCCGATTGGTCAAACATCTTTCATTCGTTGTTTCAGTGAACCCTTAGCAAAGTTGAAACACTTAAATTTCATTTCGCAAATGCGATGGACTGTTCTAATCTTAAATTGATGACCAGAGCAGCTGTCAGATCTTTGATTTATGCAAGAAAATAGAAATAAAATTCCCGCCGTGTTACGACAGCGTGGTATGTTATATTTAGATTATTGAGTGTTCACTGATGGGTAAGTCCGAGAGAAGTGACGGTAATAATTGTAAGTGTTATTTCTACCTAGAGATTGTGATTGAGTTCGAATTCCAAGTAATTAAGAAAATAAATGATGCACTCAGAAAAGATGCCTCAGACAGCACATTTTCTAAACGCATGTCATCATGTAACGTTTTCAGAGCTGGACGGTAAAGCACTTCCATAATTTTGTGAAAAAATGTACTGAGGTGCTTAAAACAGGTCGATTATTTTCTCGCCAAGATCGTAAGGATCAAGGATCCGGTCATTGTTTAGCACCTGGGGGTTGGGAGGATTTAGGTTGTGTCATGATAATATTTACCTGGTCGCCCCTCAGACTGTGTAATATTCTTATGTTTCCTCTTCCCTACGCCCTTCCCCCACAGGCAGTTAGTTGGCAGTCAACAACTTTTATACTCTGATGGCGGCAACTGAAGCCCCTTCCCTTCCCCCTAAAGACCATGTAATACCCCATAGATCCTTTACCTCCCCTAGCGATAAATAAAGACTGGTCCTAGTTTCGTACCCAGACCTCTTACACAGTAGGATCTGGGTACGAGATTAGACTGGTCTTTAATGACGAAGAAATGTTTCCGTGTTTACCAACCTCATTTAAACACAAGAGGAGTAGGGAAATTGAGACAGTTATGCACCTCAGCCACGTCTCGGGTTTTGAAATCTCTCAAGAACTCCCTCACTCTACCAAGTGTGATGATGAGGCTATGAGAACGCGCAGAAAATCCTTTGTTGCAGTTTTATAATATTCCTTAAAAATGCACAAGAATCCGAAACCTCACACCCAAGGTTTTTAACCCTTTAAATCCCACTAATGACCCAGACAGAATTTCTCCTTACACTATCAGTTCGATATCAAGCAGACGAGTAATGAAAATACAGAAAAATATAAAATAGGGGTTATTGGTTGATCCATTCCAAATTCTCCAAACTAACATCATAGATTATAAGGCAGAAGGAAATGAGAGTTACAAATGAAATTTTGGGAGTGAAAGGGTTAAAACACTTATCGACCTATGAGGGTACGTGGAGTATTGTAAATGTTTTCAAATATCCGTTGTATAAACTTTCATGATCATGATTATTTAACACGTAGGCAATCAACATTTGAAATAGCTTTCTCTCTTTGCCTTGTTGCTTCACACCAAGCGATCCCAGCTGGACATAATTTAAAAGCATCACACGCCCATGTAGCAATTTTTCAACAGAATGTCTACCATAATCCAGGATTGAATAAAGGAGGTAAGTTTCAAAATATACAAAGGTGCTGCACCGGGGATAATACATTATAATTTGGTTTCATAAAGAGTTTTTCTAAAGCCCTTCTTCAGAGCGAAACAAGGGCCAACGCTCGAAATTTCGTCTTTAAAAAGTCTTAACGGTAGCCAATTTACATTATCAATTTAGCTGATTAAACCAAATTAACTTTTAATCCGCAGGATCGGTTTTGAAAACCAGCACAGCTCGGTCACTAGCCTTTTTTCTTGCTTCAGGCATGACTTTGATGTGACTTTCTTTGAGTTCTCATTGGATCCCCGTAACATTTACTGCTGTTCCGATTGTTTGTTGCGTTTACTTTGGCTTTGAATTCACGACTCTTAATCGAAAACTGTATAGACGCCCGCGTTTAACTTGCGGTTATCCTTACTTAATTCAGCCCCTTTTCAATTCTGCCTGTAAAACGTGAATTTCGGGTCAAAGAAATTTTGCTCCGCAAACGATGGATTTTGGAATGATTGTTTTTCACTTTCGTAACATTTTCAATAGTTTATTTATTTGTTCATCGGTTCATTGATCAATTCATTTTTTACATGTACATATCAAACTGTTAATCTTTTAATGAACCGTGATAGCCAAGTTTTAAGGATTTTTAACCTTTCAACTCTCAGAGGTTGCTAGTATTTGACTCCACGTATTAATGGATACATTATCCATGAAACACTCCGTGTCCAGAACTCTGTTTAGTTTAACAATTTACAAAGCAATGAAAATGAGCTGATTGGAATCTTACAAATCGGATCTTGGGTGTAACAGCGTTCGTCTTTTTGAGAAATCTCTCACAGACTGTAGTCAGACAGCGTATTTTTTCAGTTGATAGGAGAAGATCTTTTTACAGGGCTTCTACTCATCTCTTCTTTCTCCATCTAGCTGGGCGTACTTGAAGTCATTTCTCTTCCAGTTGAAATGTTTTGAACGTGAACTTTCCTACGCGCCAACAGACTCTGAAAGGCAGCTCTTACATCTCTCTTCAGAAAAGCGTACACTATTGGGTTTGAGGCAGAGTTGATCAAAAATAGCAAATCAATGGCTATATCAAGAGATGCTGTGGTTTCACATAACTCGAACACAAAGCATACACACTTGTAGTTCTCGAAGACGTAGCAGATAATAAAGAGAAACATGATTGCCATTGTCATTTTGGCAGCAGCTTTGCTCTCTTTGCTCGATCTAAGCACAGTAGGTGAATATTTTGGCGCGTGGTTAAAACGGAGTTGAGCAAAAATCTTTGATCTCCTTTCCGAAATCTTGCGTAAGATGCAGAATATTCGACAGGCGACGAATACAAATACAATTGCTGTAACAACTTGGAAGACAAAAACTCTAAAAACAAGTAGATATCTATTTCGCACGTGTAGGCCTCTGGGCAAGGTAAATAATGCCGCTGGTAAAATCCACGCCATTGTGATAGCAATTTTGATCACCTTTGGCGACATTATCGACAAATACCTCAATGGATGAACAATTGCGAAGTATCGGTCCACGATCATCACGAACAGATTTGTAGCCGAGAAATAAAGGAATGTCCTAGATACCAAGAAGAACGGATCCACATTTTCGTGGTCGGGATCGTTTAGGCTGTCTATCTTCATGGCGAAGAGTAAAGGAAAAAACGTAAGTCCAACGAACAAGTCTGCGAAGGCAAGGGCAAGCACTAACCAGTTGGCTGTGTTGTGTAAACGATGAATGCCAATGATCAAGGAAATCACGGTTCCATTTCCAATTACAGTGACTATGGTAAGAAACCACCCCAAGAGCCAAAACCACCACATTGTTGGACGGTTTCTTAGGAAGGATATCGAGCGATTGAAATGCGTCCGTCACTGTTCTGAGTATTTATGAATAAGTATTTATGCGTGTCTTGAATTTTTTCGAAATTTGAATTTAGAGTCATTAATCACAATGAGAGCAGGATGTACCCTTAGGTTGGATATGCATTCAAGCCTTCATTCACGATACTAGTTTTGATATATTCTTTCAATTCTGATAAACCATGACTTCATGTATTCCTTAAAATTTACGCGTTTGTGTGCGGTTTGCGTTTGTTAAAAGTTACTCTCCGCACCATTGGGCTATAAGATAACCCAAAATATTCAGAAATTGTGTCGGTGAGCGTGTCTCAAGTCTGACTACAGACCAACGGAAAAGGTGGTTATTTATAACTTTGGCAAACTATTGAAGTTTGATTAGTTTGAAGTGCTGACGTAGTTCACATGACTATTGTTATCTTTGTTCAGATAAGAATGATATGGTATTTCAGATTTTCGCTGTATTGGACGAGTGAATTCTTGCGTAGGACAAATTGACACAGCGTGCGCTTTCCGTCAGCGGCGGTAAACAATTTTCATAGAGAAACATTAAAATGCGTCAACCTCTGCAGAAAATTGGATACGAGAGAAAACCAGGGAAAACATGCATCGAAAATATGCCAGAGGACACAGTCACAAATAATACCAACAATTATCCTATCATTGTCGAAAAAAAAAACATTCTTTGAATAATTTTGACGGTTTCATTCAAGCATGAACTGAGAACTGCGCCTCACAATCGAAATTCAGGGAAAATGGGTCTTAATCGGATAACTTTCAGGCCTGAGGAACTTAAATAGGCAGCGAATCGCTACTGTGGGTCTCTCTAAGTCCTATATCAATTTGAACGAGTGGTGTTCTTGAAATTTTCTTCACTTTGTTTAGTAAATTTCAAATCTTTCACAACATCTTGACTTTTGATGGTTCCTGAGCGGTCGCTGTTCTAAAAGCGATTTCGCTGACTACTTTTCTATGGTATGTTGTACGTTCTAAAAGACTTCTTGTTCACACCGACTCGAAATACTTAATTCGACCTGAGTATGATTTACCAAATGCTTTAAGCCGATAAAGTTAGACAATAAATCACGACATCGACCATAACCAATTACTTAGCTATTTATATTATCTCTTTCTATTTATCAAGGGTTGATTTCTTGTCGTCGACCTCCCATAAACTTAAGCTGACTAAAGTGTTAATATTAATTTCTTAAAAACTAAGATCAACTTAATTTGTAATATATTTGTGTTTTGTTGTTCTATAAAATGCCTTCTATCTTTTCTTGTCCTCTTCAAAAATAGACATTGAGATTCCCATATCATTTAAGTTGGCCGGTTATTGGAACACTTATCTAAAGCCTTCCGATGTGGTTTCCTGTTATATGGGTTGGCCGGGTTTTCGTACTTTTGAAAAAACCCGCGTTCTTTAAGAACCATTTTGAGGAACAATACGATGAACTTGCAAATGGGTCAAAATAGAACCGTTTCTTTCTTCTAAACTAATAGACTCCTAAAGGTTTAACATATCACAGCTCGATCTGATATCAGTCTTAGCAGGGCAGCTTAACCTTATCTCATTTTTCTGTACATGCTGTAGTTTAAAACGAATTTCCGCAATATTATTGCCAATACAGTTTTTGTTGGTGTGTTTTCTTTTCCCCGAAATACCACTACCATTCATGCACAAAAGAAAATATAGATCAAGAAATGTTGAAATCGTGTTTTTCTGAAATAATTTTAAACCAAAGCTTACTTATCCATAGATAAGCATTGGTTAATGGTGACGCCCCTTTAAAAGGAAAACGATTGTCCCTTGCGGAAGGACTCGATCTTGCTTCAAGTTGATTAAATAATAAAAAAAAACACCAAAAAAAAAATGTCCATTACGTCTTATATCAGTAGGTCTCTCAAGTGAATCACAGAGCAAATATTACAGGTACGTCAAAAAATTCTGATACGAAGTCACAGTTCCGGAACTTAAGTTATTTTACTGGCCAGATTTTAACGTAAGGGTATAATCAGGCAGTCCACCCTGACTGGCCAAGAAATTTTCACGACCCTTCGATGCAGTGTTAATTGTAAAAGAAATTTGAGTGCAGTGTAAACTATTGACTGTTTACAATGATACTCTTAAATGTTGTGACCTTTCTGAATATACTTTGCATCATGAAATGTTATGTAATGTAGAGTGATGTTAGTTAAGTAATTTTCAGTTGTTAACGTGTTAAAAAAGACAGAGGACTAAAGCTTGGCTACTTACAAACAGTTGTGCTATCAACCACAACCATCAGACTAGGTTTTCCAGTGATAACGAGTAGCTTGACAAACTTCCCAACCAAGGTCGCGATTAAATCGCATTTTAGTTTTCCCCAATGACGTCATTTCATCATGTCAGGGGCAACGGAATGCGCAAATTATACGACCGTATTTCACTTTAGTAAAGGGCAAAAATATGGACGGGAAGTGCAAGACCAAAATTGCTACACTTAAAGATCCAAATTTTGATCCTTTTTCCGCCCTTTAAGCAAAGCACTTTTAAGCGCGTCAGATTATTTCGTTCGTCATAGGAACACTTCAATGGTTCCGTTTGTGTTATTTTGCTCTTTCACGCATGTTCAGATAAGGCCAACATTCTAAAAAAATAATAAAAAAATTCAATAATAAATCCCTTATCATGATGTTTTAACGTATAATATAAGCGGACATTTTGCTCGTTGCTTGTATTTTGTCTCGCCCTTACGAGACTCGGGAAAATACCACGCAAGAAGCAAAATATCCGCGCGTATTGGATGTTAAAGTCAGTTAAGTGATACCATTGAGCCTTGGTCCAGCGTTAAAAGGTGACTTACGCGATTCTTTTTGAACCAATGAGTTAAATATATACACCTTATTCGATGGTTTAAGCGGTCACCCACAGGTTCGACTGTGAGAGATTAATCTAAAGATGGTGACATATGGAACACCCCGTGAGGTAGACCACGAACATACCAGGTCCATATAAAAATCTGACACTAACAAAGATCACGTATTCGAGACCGCCAGCTCGCTTCCAGTTATCTAATACTGCGAACAATTTTCTTGAAAACGAGGGGTGGGAGGGGATGGTGAATCACAAGGACTCTACGCCTATGCCTGGACCCTTGTCCGCTCCTTGGGGCCTGGAAGAAGGGTAAAAGAGAACTGACATGATACCTTGACGCTAGAGCAAAGGAAAAAAATTCCAAAGAACTTAATGATATAAAAAAATTTGTTTTATTAGTAATTTGTACAATGGCCTTCAAATTGGTATTTCTTGCCAAATTATATAAATGCACTAATACAACTATCCTTCAATGCATGGATACAAATGTTTCTGCAACTTTCTTTTCAAATAGAAGCAGAACATACAGATTTAGCTTGCGGGCAGGCCCGCATCAGTAGCGCTGTACGAGTCGAGGAGAGGTTTGACGGGGGTCTGGCTCTAATAATGATTAACAGAGCTAAACCCCTTGCAGACTTCCCGCCGGCTTCTGTTGCTAAGTCCTCATACCTTCCCGCGGACGAGGAAATGCACAAACAATAAGGGCCTGCCAACAGACCTTTCTTCGGTTGCGTTTTGTTTTCACGTTTAAAATATTTGAGAAAATCTTAACTCTAAATGAAGCCCACTTAATGAATACAATGCTTCCCTTGATTCTTCAACAAGGCTTACTATTAATAATTACTTAAATCCTGTATGCTTTCCAAGAAATAAAGCCAACATTCTTAAGCCAAAAAAAATTAAATGTAGTAATTGGTAGACATTAAAATTCGCATAAAATCAGTTGAATCAAAATTTTACAAGACAACATATGTTTCTAGGAATTAACCAAAAAATTCATTTTTAAGACGCTGAAGGAAGATTGAAACTATTTCTGGAACGCTTTGACATTAACCAAACAACCGAAATGTCTTTGTTGTTGCCTTAAAAACCAAACGGTACCGACAAGAGATCTGAAGAAAGCGCTTGGAAAGAGAACTTTCAAGTTCTGGTTGACATCTCTCTACTGAAGCCTGTATTTTCTCACAAAATTAAAGGGAAATTGGGGCACTCCTTACTGAAAGAAATTTTTTGTCCGCCGGCGCACAAAAAATACTATCTGAGTGCAACAGGCAGTATTCAACAAAATTCTGGCCTGGATAACAAACTTCTTACCCTTTCATCATCCATTCCCTTGTGTGCTAGCCAGTAGCCTCCTTGTCCATCGGTCTCAGCCGACAATCTTCCTTAACCTTGCCTTTCCTCAGATTATTCGTTGTTCTACATCAAATTATTAATATACCTGGCTTCAAACCAGTCCCTCTTTCATCTTGTTTAGTACAGAACGATTTTAATGAACCAAGGAAATTCAAAATACAGTGCAAGTAAGTAACCTAACAACAAGGAGAGGGTCTATTTTTGACAGACAGTAAAAATAACTCAACTTGTATTCTTCAGCAAGTCACGCGTTCTGATTTGCCTACTGAATCGATGTCCACATTGGTAAGCTCCTGTCCGTTCGTGAGAAAACACGAACGTTTCGCTTACAACCAATCGCGCAAAAAAAAAAATGGAAAGGGACACTGTAAGTATGCTAGTCTCACTAATGGGAACTGACTTAGATAGCTGACCCAGGGTGGTACCCCTTGTCGAGAGAGTGATTATACGTTTTATAAGCAGACTTTCTGTACTAAACATGCCGATGATCAAGAGAATGCTTTGCTATGGAGTGGAAATGTCACAATGTCATATCCATAATATTATACCTAAATTTTCACAAGCTCTACAAAACAAATTATAGATTATGCAGCAAAGATGTGCTATGAGTTAGGCTGACCTGATGAAGATGTCTGTTTCGGAAAAAAAAAACAAACAAACAAAAACAGGGCACCCATTTACTTTAAGCAAAACTTGCAGTAAAAAAAGTGACAAGAATGTTCCAAACAACCCAACAGATTAAACAAAATATGCTATTTTTTTGTTATTTATATTAAATTTTCCTTTTTTGCTGCATAAGTTCTGTAATATCATCTTTCTATAAATGAGTCTGGACTAACAAAATACCAAAACAATATTATGTAGCTCCCAGAAGAGCTCTGGGTTTTCAGTCTGAAAACCAAGACCTCAACATCACCTACCTCACTACTATGAAATTATCTAAGTTACACATTTCATAATAGCATAGCTCACAGATTGTATTAAAGCTGCATGTAGTTAGATCATATGTATGTAAAAAATGTAGAAAAAGCTTCTGGCATGATGCATTATACCCTTTAAGTAAAGAGGTATCTCAGTTGTAGTAGTCCCTGTCCCATCTGGACTTCTGCATCTTTATATCTGTTATAAGGCTGTTTGCAAAACAAATTCCCATAATCTGCGACAAAAATGTGCAAATAAATTAGACACTTTTGTCAATGCTCTATAATTCCATACAAGATTCTTGGCAAAAGCTGTGAACATGATTGCACAAAGTCATTCTCCTTCTCCCAGGTCTGTACTGTAGCTCCATAATGCATACCACAACTCAATTATTAACAGACAATTTTAAAGAACTCACCTGCACTAGGGCCAAACCAACTGCAATCCCACCGATTATTATTAAGTTCTCCTTAAACCAGTCTCTGACTGCTGCAATACAGCCTTTGATGTAAATGACCTTACTCCTTTCTGTATCCTGAATCAAAAAATAGACCTGTTAGTGGAATCTTTCTCGTTAGTGATACATACCAAACATAACACCATTCAGTTCAACTGATGTTGAATGTTGACATGAGAGCTGAAAATGAGGCTAAATGTATTATTTTTTAGCATTTGTAATGTCTTTTTAAAATAACTGGGAACTAAAGCATCCTAATAAAAAAAGCTTGAGATTATTATATAGAGTTGACATGGTTAAAAAACATAAATTAAGTATCACAGAATGTGCATTACTGTTTCAAAAATTTAATTAGAAAATTCCATTGTTAACCAGAGTGCATAATTACTTTAACGATACCATTTGTTCCATTTCATGGCACATACATTGCATACTTCAATTACAAGTGTAATGAAAATTCTGTATCAGGACAAAGCATACAATCCTCCTTCAAGCAAATTGGTGGTAGAGAATTGGAATACCACTACAAGGGTGGAATTCAAAAGATTATATTTTCTTTTGTCTCAAAATTGTAACAAGTTCACCTTCCTATATCCTAAAGTTTTGTTACTTTTATTAGCTAGTAGACTATCATCCGTTAAGCAAGATAGACAGCAAAAAGACAATTAACCCTTTACATCCTAACATCAGTATGCATATTCTCCATATAGTTCCCTAAACATTTCCTAAGGTGCTGACAAGGAGAATTTGTATAACAATCAAGAGCTTCTTTGGTTAGTGATCAGTTCCTTTATTCTCCTAACCTTAGTGTTTGATTCAGGGGTGATATGGTGAGGAGAAATTAGATGCCAGTCACTATTAGGGGTTAAAGGGTTAACTTACAGTATATGCAGGTTTTCTGATCTTATATCCACACTGTGTGTTTAGGGTATCCTGTAAGAAAATAAACTCTTCGACATAAGTACATGTACACTTTAGTGGATACAACAAAAGCCTCTGACCTTGTTGATGGGCAGTATATTTGATAGAAATTTAATGCCCAAAGAAGAGCTACTTTTCAATGTGGCTGGATAGACACCTTATAGCAATAAAATTCAAGTCCTCCAAACTATTTTTAGTACCTTTCATGGGTGAATGTTTCCCTGGAGTCAACGTACAGAGAAAAAAATGTTTCTCTATAGTTACAATTCATTTTTTTCATTTCCATATGCTTGTGGATTATCTACATGAATTCTATCTGAAATTTTGTTCTATAACTGAGCTCCTTGTTGTCAGTGACACTTTATTCACTAACAAGAGAGACAAACTTGATAGGTACTCCATGTGACTATGGTACGCTCTGTATAAATGCATGTACACCTGTGTATGACTGATGTCATGACAACATGAGGTAAGCTCTGTATAAATGCATGTACACCTGTGTATGACTGATGTCATGACAACACCAGGTAAGCTCTGTATAAATGCATGTACACCTGTGTATGACTGACCTCATGACAACATGAGGTAAACTCTGTATAAATGCATGTACACCTGTGTATGACTGATGTCATGACAACACCAGGTAAGCTCTGTATAAATGCATGTACACCTGTGTATGACTGACCTCATGACAACACGAGGTAAGCTCTGTATAAATGCATGTACACCTGTGTATGACTGACCTCATGACAACACCAGGTAAGCTCTGTATAAATGCATGTACACCTGTGTATGACTGACCTCATGACAACATGAAAATGGTACACCACAAGCCTCTGCACCTGGAGAGGAACAGTTAAAGTATATGTTTCTTTGCCAGTCATTGTAAGTTTCTCCACCACAACACTTGAACTGCAACACGAAATAAACAAATTCAGAACATGCAAAATCTGTATGAGGCCTTTTAATTAGTTATAGAGTATAGATCAAAGCTTCTCATTTCAATTTCAATAAATCATGACTCACAGCTTTTCTTCATTAAGTTGGCTGATCATTGTTAAAAAAAAGAAAAAAAGCAACATAAATATCTACATGTTACTTGTTAATATGAGTATTGGATCAAAATCACAAAAACCTCTTGTTGAATTCCATCAATAAAACTCTGTAGATCCACATTGTCCCTGTAACTCTCAATGGTTTCATCTATTTTCTTCTTTACAATACCTTCAACCTGAAATTCAACAAACAAACTGATCTTCAGTCAAGGAACCAATTTCTACAGTTATCATCTTAAAGAACTTGGTGGCACCCACAATATTGCATGCATGCCAAGAAGTTGACAGTAGTTGTTCTCTAGAATAAAATAAACTGACAAAATGAATGAATATAGTGATTTTTAAATCCCCTTCTCTTCCCCTTAAATAAAAAACAAAACTTACCTTATCTTGAAACACAAAGACAAAAATTCCCAGAGATAATTCAAGGAAGAATATGATTGCCAGGACAATTGAAAACTGAAAAGAAAAAATATAGATCAATAGATGGAATTAATACCATACTACCATAGAAAGGTACACGTAATGTTCTGAGATTGAAGTAAATGACTTAAACTACAGACACCTGTTTTAAATACATGATAAGTGCCAGTTGTAAATAATGGATCTATGGCCATCAATGTGGCTGGACAAATCTTAGAAATAAAATCTTGGATGACAACAAGAAAAGTTAAAATGCCTTATAAATGGCGGAAATCCATATTTGGTGCCATACTTGAGAAGCTCTGAAAACTGACAGAATGGGAATAGGATGGTTCAGTTAGCCAGGCTCAACCTAGCTTAGTTGATTTAATAAACACACAATTTCCCTGTTTCAAAAGTTATGTCTAGACTACACTGTAGCAGATACAGACTGGAGACAACATAAGCTTACAAACTTCAGAAGGCAAACATTTTCTCTCAAAGCACCGATGCAACCAGTGAATCCAAGGATAAACATGATCCCTCCAGTTATGATCAGTGCAAAGGCTGGGTCCATAACAATGTCATTAAAGAAGCCTTGATATCTGGTCTTTTCAAATCGTGCATAGAGGCCAACAGCAGTTGTAAGGCCTCCAATCAGCTACATATATGATAAAAAAACAATTTATTAGATAAGTAATATAACTTATATAGTTTGATTAGTAGAAATTTTAGTTTTCTTTGGCTGTATATTGAATGAATGAATGAATGAACGTATTTATATACCGCACATATCACATACTGTCTCAAGGCGGTTTACAATTCTAATTGAGTGAGATCGAACGTCAGCTTGTAAAGGCGCCTCTGGCTGCCACTATCAGTTCATATTTGATCTCACTCACCCACCCAACCCATGCATGAAATGTACAATGAAACAACAGATAGACCACCACACCGGGAACTACGTGCCCTACTCTTTTCGACAAATGTGTGGGTTCTTTAACGTCCCCTGCTGACCATGTAACACTGAAGATGCAGGAGACGGGGCCTACGGTTTATAGTCCTTATCCGAGAAGACTTGAATGTCTAACCATTTGCTGATATAATTACAAAGGCAGCACATTCTCCTCAGTTAATTTTAAGACCCTGAGTGTTGGTCCGGTCTGGAACCTTAGAGTATAGAACCTGAAAGTCTGAGGTTTGATTCCTCATAGGGACTCAAATTTCTCCTACGTCCAACACTTCCTGTAAGATGCAAAACATATTGTTCTGACCCCTGCTGTTCAAGGTTCAGATATCACTATCCACTAGATAAATCTCTATCCTGTGAATAATGCTTCACCTTTTGCTGTCACTTATCTGCTGGATAGCAATTTATCCACGGAATAGCATTATCTGCCCTTTATACAACTGGGCCCTCAAGTACAGAACTTTATTCTAACTGATGGTAATATTGGCAATACAATAATCCTAAGTGAAATTTAATGTGGCCAATATCCAACACACTTCAAAAGTTTATCATGGAATGTTCAGAGTTTGACTGTTATTCAAATTTGGACAAACTCAACTTCTGTACCATAAGAAAACAAGATATCTGGAGAAAATTCTCAGACAGGCTTCTTTTTTCGCTGGCAATAAACCATGGGACTCTTTTATAAGTACAAGGATGATAACTAAAGACATGCAAAGACCTGCACAATGGATAGTTGAAGCTAACCAAAGACTCAAGAAGAGATAAATTTATAACAACCCTAGACAAAAAAGACAAATGAAAATTTCGTGTGCTATAGCCACGATAAATATTAAGAGGTGAAAATTTCAATCCACCTCTAAATATCACAAGAGACAAGTGAGAACTTGTACACATGCACATGTCCCAACATAGCATGGAATTTGATCACTCTCAGATTTACTGATCATTCTTAAGGAAAGGAGAAAACAAACAAAAAAAGGACTGCTGATATAAGGTGAAAATTGTGAGAAATATTTTATATTTTATCAAATTTTCCGGAAAGAAATATTGTTCGTGTTAAAGTTTGACCGACACATACGTGACAACGCAAATATTCGTTGGAACAATATTAAATAACATTTTAACAAATTAACTCAACAGTGGTAAACTTTCCACACCATTCTACCATCTCAGCTAATTCTACGTTATTTGAATGTGGTGAGAATTCGTTTCTGACCACGCAAAACCGGACATAACTTGATACTTTCGTAATTACGGCATTAGTAGTATGGTTTAGGTAGTGTCCTATGTGATTCATACTAATACAGCTCCGTGTCAAATTGATAAAATAACCTAAATGCCGCTTCAATAACTCATTCTGTCCTTTCCCTGAAACAATTGAAGCAAAAACAAACTCTACGATAGAAAACGATGGAAAACACGATAGACGAAGCAATCAACAATGTGCATGGCTTATTTGTATTCAATTTCACAAAAGAGCCATGTCGCTTTAGTTGTCAACAAATCTCATAGTATGTGTACATTTCTTTCAAAAACTTACCCAGAAAAACACATTGAAAAAGAAGAGAAGATACTTCACACAACAGCTAACTTCTGTAGTTTCCCTAGGCATCGTTAATGGTGTGAAAGTCACAAATTTACAGCATACAGGAAATAGGGAAGTCTGAGGAAACGTTTAGTGCGTACACCCGGTCGAAACTTTGGAAACAAGTGGTAACCAGTTTCTTCTCGGTAAATGCAGAGAGCCCGCCCACAGCTGTAATGACATCACAGCAACACTTGGCCATCATGTTGCTAGGTGACATCAAGGAGCTAGAATTATGGAAAACATTACCTTAATCTCCCATAATCCAATATCTAAACATCTTAATGTTTTTTGCAATAATCTCTTGCGTTTCCCTAATGTCACCAGAGTGGTTGAGCACGTTTCCCGCTCTCTGGATAAAATATCAGTTCTTTAGCGCTGCTTTGTCGTGATCATTTTAGCATGGGCGAGGATTGAGGGGGGGGGGGAGGGGAAGGGGTTAGTAACATACTTACCTTACGGGGGAAGAATGCTCTTTCCGGAAGAGATTTATTAATGGATTTGAAAAAAGATGTATTCCACGGGCCAAATGGGTGATTCATGCGCATTACCCGAGAAAAAGTGAAATGAGAGTGGTTCGCTCCATTTTGTCAAAAAACTCGGGGCTGGTTAATACAAAGCTGATTTCTAATTATTTGAGCCGTGGTTTTAGATTATTAGCTGATCTCGAGATTTCTTTATAGATGGATTGTTTGATGTAAATAAGCATTTTTCACCTCTTACCTTTAAGCCTTCTTCACCCTTCACAAATGCCAACATTTGAGAGGAGTGTTCTCTTAATTGAAGATCTAGAGCGTGGTTTTGCTGGATAGCGGTTACTATCTTTTAAGATAACCAGTTCTTTATTTAATTCTAGCCTTACTTTGCAGTTGAAAGAAGTGTCTCAACTCAAGGCGATTTAATTAAAGGGGCGAAGTACTCCTCTTCGTTCTTCGCTCCATGCCTCTATCAAGCCCTGTAGACTTGCTAAACGCCCATAAGAGGCTCGTATTAGAGGTTGTGTATGCATTTGTAGTGTTTTCTTTCTATAGGTAAATGACAGAAAAAGAATTTATTCAAAAAATTATTATGTGGAAGGTAAGTGAATAGGGTTAAAGAATAATGCGTTTGGACGGCTGGACCTCGATACGGAGTGAAATTTTGATTCAACGATTAGGCAAACAATTTTACATTTAGCCAACATTTCACTCTTGATGCAATTTGGGGAGGGAAGGGTCAACCTTTGTGTACCAAATTTGATAACTTATCTCCTACCAAGCGAGGACAAACTCCCTCGCGTGACTGAGCCCACGGTTTCGGCCGCTTACTTGTGATCGATGAGTGTGATGTGCTATTATTCAGCTCTGATATGCACGATCTTGTCGAAATTTTCTTTGCCTTTTCTTCTTTCGCTTTCTTAACAGTTCTGGAAAAAGAAATGTGATCTTTCCCGCGGGGTATTATGCTGCTCGCGTTGGCGGAATACATTTGAAAAACGAGCCAAAACAGCCGCCATGACTCATTGGCGTGGAATCAATTGATCACATGGGTTTTTTAGTCCAATCATAGTTGAGCATTTATCGTTGTATTTGAGCTGTTGCATAGCCGCTTGTTTTTTACCGAAAATTTACAACAACTCAATTGGATTGACAGTAATTTTAAGCACCAGGTGCATCAGTACAGAAGGATTTTTAGCCCTGTTTTGCAGTGTGTGATACAGTGCACTGGAAGATTTTCGATTTGGGTTGATTCGGCATTTGTCTGGCAGGTTGCGGTGAGTGTACGTTATAAATTTTACTATGAGGTTCTTGTGGTTTCGTTTTCGATCGCTCAGATATGAAGGATTTTGACCATGATGCACACGTAACGCACTGAACCTTCTGATTGATTGCCAAATTATTTTTTTTATACTGAATCGACCACAGTTTGAAAAAATTGGTGTGGCAGGTTAATCGTTGTGCCATAAAATTTTGGGCCTTCAATAATGCAATGGAAATCCACTTATTTACAAGAATGATTCCCGCATTTTTAGTTATATGCATTTGCAGGTGGTGTATTTTATCGTTACTTTTGCTTTGAACTATTAGAGAGGAAGATGTTAAAAAGAACAGTATTATTTTGTTCTGCTCGTTTGAAGGTTGTGGCAAAGAATAATGTTGTCAGAATAAAACCCTAATTTTCCCATGGTAACAAACTTGGTGAAAAGTAAGCTATTATACGCGGTTATTTTGGAATCAGAAAGCAGGATATTTCTTTGCACTTTCAAGTGATCTGTTGGTGGTAATATTAGCAAACCCGGTATCTAGCTCTGATGCATTTTTAAACTGGTAAGGAAAGAGAAGTTGAAATCGCAACATGATCTAAATACGAAAATATTCACTCATTGTGTACACACTATTCAAAAATCAGAAGAACAGGGTAAACAGTTTTCATTTTAGATTATAGCCCGTGCATATCGTTAAAGGATGTTAATTGCTTTTCCATTTACGTTTGTCGTGCAGATGTGTATTTATAGTTAGTCGCTAAGCTCAAAATTAATTCGTTTCCATTTAGAGGCGACATTATGTAAAGAGTCGTGTAAGTATTTGTATCCAAGGGTCAGTGGTCAGGATGCACTACAAATTTGTGCCATCTTCTTTCCTCTTCTGTATAGTTTGCATATCGAGTCTTGTTGCTTAATGGTAATGTAAGGCAGTAGTTTGTTACAATGCACCCATTTAGCCAGCTACTAATTTGAGAATAACAGATCATTGTTATTACAGTCAATGAATATTGCCAGAATCCAACCATTTGACCAATACTGAATTTCTTTCTTCAACTTTAGTCTGTAGTCATTGTACTTTCAGCCACACAGCTTCAATTAAGCCTGTTTTCTCAAGGGATGTACATTCACTCTCTCTGACAAAGGGCTAACACATCATCTTTAAAATTCTTTACAGTGGCCAATCTACATTATCAACTCAATTGAGTCCTCAAGAGGTCCTGTAATTCTGTCATCATGATGTGGTTTTTTTAGCGTTCTGAATTGGCCCTGAAATCTCTGAAACATAATATTGCTTATGGTATATTGATGCTCAACTATGAGTGTTTTGTTTTTCTGAAAGTTAAATGTACTTGACCATTCAGTGCTCTATGTAGGCAGAAGTTGTTGGGTTTAGGAAATCAATCTAGTTTATTGCTGAAACTGCTGTTGATTGGTTATGGAAATTGAAATGCTAGTAAGTACATGGAGTACTGAGAGTTTAGTATTACTTTTTTTTACAAAGTGGTTATTGTTGTAATATTATCTTAGGTATGAAATAATTGAAGTGTGAATATCACATCAGGTACTCA